AGTGCCTGTATAGCAAAAAGCATATAAATATGTATATCAAGTCACTGAAACTTTTTTTTAAAGTTAACAGTACTTTAAGAAATGAAACTGAGTGCTGGAACATAGATTGAGTAAAACACTTTTGCTATTTTGAAGGTTATTTATCACCCTAATAGCAATGAGTACACCTGGCACCATTTCTGATACCATTCTCTAATAAAAGGAACCAAGGCTCTCTGGGGAAATAACTGATTGTAAAACTGGGGCAAAAGATATACAAGATGAGCCTGGGCATCTTGTAGTGTCAGAAAGTAAGGAAGTGTTGAACACCTCCCCACACACACGCACGCAATAGGTTATGTCAAAGGAACACGAGAGCCAACTGAAAGAGCTCCCAATTTGAACAAAATAAATAAAGTACTATTGGCTATTAACCCAAAGTATACAATAACTATGCATGAGTTCACACTGATATAAATAAATGTTGAATAAATAAATAATAGGGAAGAAGAGACAAATCTCCTATGCACGAAGCTCAGTAATGTACATAGATACATGGCACTCAAGAAATCGAGCAGAACTCTCTTTATGTGGGCTGCACATAGTCCTTCCTTCCACAGAGAATAGTATGAAAAGGAAGGGGAAAAAAGAGAGAGAAAGGTTACAGTGTAGAAACCTGATCATCACTATCTCAGCCAGGTGATCAAGGTCAACATGAACAGTGGTAAGTCATGTTGATAATATGTAGCCTTCATATGATGTGATGTGATCTTTCTCCCCCAAAACCATAGTCTCAGTCTAACCATGAAGAAAACATTAGACAAATCCCAACTAAGGGACACTACAAAATTCCTGACCAGTACTAAAAACTGTCCAGGTGATCAAAAACAAGGGAAGTCTGAGAAACTGTCACAGACAAGAGGAGGATAAAGAGACATAATAATGAAATGCAATACGGCATTCTGGATGAGATCCCGGAACAGAAAAAGGACATTAGGTGAATGCTAAGAAAATCTGAGTGAACTGGAAGTTCAAATAATAAAAACGTATCAATATGTGTTCATTAGTTGTGACAAATGTACCAGACTATTGTAAGATGTTAATAATAGGGGCAATTAGGTGGGTTATACTGGAACTCTGTAACTGTCTTTGCAGTTTTTTTCTATAAATTTAAAACTACTATAAAATAAAATTTTATTTTTTAAAAGGTGGTTTAACACTCTTTAAACATTAATATTTCATTTTAAGTGCTAAACCAGTCATTTCCCTCTATACAGGTTCTATCTCTGTGATGACATTTTTAATCAAGTAAAGATTTAACGGTTTCAAACACAAACTTGATGAGGGAGCAGAAAAAGTATAAATGATTGAAAAATAAATTTTAATAAGTGCTTATTATAGTAACCAATTTTTAAAAATACTCCAAAATGTTCAAAGATACCAACAGCAGCAAACTTGTCAGTTGTGGTCTGGGTGTTGGTCTAAAAGGCCAGCAAGGCAGGGTGAGCCTCGAACTCTGTCTGGGACATGGCAACTGTAGCTTTGTTTAATTTTAATTTCCATATTTTATCATCATCGACCCAGAAATGCATTTAAACCCAGTTTTTCTTTAATTTCTCAGAGCTTTTTCTCCTACCTTGTTAACCTCTTAAAAAATTCCATTTCTTTAAAGTTAACACAGAACCTATAGGGAGGCTGAAAAAGGCATGTGTATAGTATAGCCACACACTTTGAATAAATGTAATAGAGCAGGCTGTAGCCTCCAGGTTAACAGGCTTTGACAGTCTTTTTATCAGCCAGAAAATGCTGGGAATATAAATCTAAGGACTTTCAAGTAAAACTTCATTTTCTATTTTATGTCCCCAAAGAAAAGGCCCCTGATTTATATGTCTCAGTAGCCCCACTGCCTGTCACAGGGTCTGGCATTTAGTAAATATTTGTGAAATGAATTAATGAAGAATGGGATGATATATAGAATTTTGCCAGGAAAAGAAGAGAGGATGGGGACAGTGTATTCCAAGTTGAAGGAATAGAGGAATGAAGACACAAAAGTAGTAATGAGAATTGCATGTTTGGCAAAGTTTATGGACCTAATGGCATTTCTATAATATGATTTAATTATAGCATTTATGGAATGAAATTTGACAATACTATTTTTGAAATAATAAGAAATATATATTTGGTCTCTTCTTCCAGTTCCTGACACAGGTTCTTAAAACCCTTGTAAATTCCTAGGTGGTAAGAGCACTAGGAGCATCTTTTGTTCTAATGAGTGTGACTCTGAGTGGACTCCTAGATGGGGATGGTCGCCAGAAAGACGAAGTCATAATTGGAAGTTCCCAGAGAGGGGGGAGGGGCTGGATATAGAATTAATAATTGATCATGCCTAGGTGAGGAAGCCTCCATGAAATCCCCATAGGACAGGGTACAGAGAGCTTCCAGGTGGGTGAACACATCCACACCCAGGGGGTGACACACCCAGGCTGGACAAAGCATCATTTGAGCTGGCCTGGAACAGTTTATACCCTTATGAAAATAGGATGATGCTTGTATTCTTTGAGAACACAAGTGACAATGGGGAGATAGCACAGAATATGCCAGTGAGCGCGTTTAGAGCTACAGTGAACCCTTTACGTGTCAGTATTTGAAAACTGACTTATTTTAGGTAGCATATCAAGGTCTCATACTTGTTTACATAGCAAGAGATCTATAGGAAATTACCAATACTGTGAGTGTATTAGTATTTTTTATATGAAAACTTATAGAAAACCCAAGGCAAACTGACATGCAATAAAAGGGGGGCTTTATTAGCTTATGTAATGAAAAAGACCAAGAGTTGCATGGCTTTCGACCTGGCTGAATCCTGGTGTGTTTCCACCTCCTGGGTTCCCTTTCTCCTCTGTTACCTTTGCCCTCAGGCTCCATCTGTGTTTTCCCTGGCAACTCCAGTAGAAAGAATACTCTTCTCCCAAATCTCTAAAAATATCACAGCCCATCTCATTGGCTCTGATTGCTATTTTTCAGCCTATCCCTGTGGCTCCAGGGCTGTGATGCTCTGATTGGCCAGGCTTGGTCCACATGGCACAGAAGGAGAAACAACATGTCCATTTCAATTGTTTTTGTTAGAAATGACATGGAAATTCTAGATTTTTAAAAATATACAGGTCTTTTGGAGCCCTGAAAGAGAAAATAGGTAAGGTATTAATTAGAAACTATGTCGGGAAAGAATCTCCACTTTTCAGAAAAATTCAACAAATTAAAGGTAACTACTATCTGCAGGAACTCCAGTAACTCCAAGTTACCTGAACTCCATCTCTTATCTAAATTAAGTGTGGGAGTGCTATCAAAGTGGCTCATCATTAGGTTCTTGGGATCCAGGGCCTTCCAAAGCCCTCCTGGCTAAAGTGACCATAGGGGATGATGCCAGTGCTTTGCCCAGACCCTCAGGAACCTTTGAACCATTTCTGTTTGGAGGGCTGGGAGCTGAGGAAAGGAGGCCAGTTTCAAGGAGCTCCCATTAGATTTTTGTTCAAAGCATTGCTCTAGGATTACTGGAACCAATTTGCCAAGTGAGCAGGAAATTCCTGGGAATTTAGTTCCCCCTTAACCTGTGACAGATTTCATGTGCAAAGAACCCTCTTGCCTGGTTCTCTGCACATGGAATCTCATTTTGGGATCTGCTTCTGGGCGTCAAAGCCGGAGTCTATAAGGATGCAAGTTTCAAGCTCAAAGGAGCACTTGGCAGGTTCTAGTGGAGAAAGCAGAGCATCTTGTCAGACTTCCTGGCTTCTTGTCTAGACTTACAACCTTCTGATTATGAGTGCTTTGTTGAGGTAAGAAACGTCCAAACTTGTAGAACATTTTTTATGAGAGTTTATATGAGCCAAATTGATGACATATGCTGAGGAGCAAGATCTCAACTGCTCCAGAGAATAACAGTTTTGCAGCTTCTTTTGTGCATTTGAAGTTAAGGAGGGAACATAAGGAAAACTGATTAAATGGAGGTGAGAGAAAGCGGGGGGGGGGTTGGATTTCTGGGCAGTTAACAAGAGTATGTGTTCTCTTGAGGGTGAGTAACCCCTTTGAAGGATATTCTGGTATTTCAAAGGTGTGTTAACGTAGATGCACAAGAACAATGGACAGGGCTGGCTTAACACCTTTCACTAAAGATGTTATAGGCCTGGGACATGACTACCCACCAGTTAGGAATTTATGATCAGATCATCCTGGAAAGTAAGGTTACTTTCCAAAGCACCCCTTTTTGCACCCATAACTTGAACAAATCACATCACTTCTATGAGCCTTACTTTCCTCATCCGTAATATGGGGATAATCATGACACCTGCCTCACCTGCCTATCACAGAGGGTTGCTGTGAGGAACAAATGAAATAATGTGAATAAAGGGGACTTGGAAGTGTAAACAATTATACAATATCCACTATTATGTAGGTGCTGTCAGAAATAGTCATCTTGACTCCAAGCACCCAAAATATTTATATTGAGCTTATCTGATTCTTCACCACCACAAACCTGAGGTTAGATTCCAACAGAATCAAATAGATAAAAGAGGCTGAAATGCCCAGTGGATGTTTCATTCCATTAACTCTGCTAAATAATTCTACAAGTAGAATTAGATAGACACAGAGCTTGAATTTGCAGCCTGTTATCAGACTTTGCAATAGTGAGCACTTGCTGGCCCAGATCTCTGTGTATTGTCTTGAATCCCTGGTTCCCTCACTTTGTCCAGGGGCAGGCAAGCCAGTCCTCCATCTTGTCTATTAGGCTAAATCAACATCATCAAGAGTAGAGGCCTGTCACACCCTGGGCAGTGTCTTGTCCACTGAACCCAGCCCCCACAAGGAGCAGCCCTCCTTCCCTGCCCTAATCTTGTCCACCAGGCAGAGCTGATGTGAGGTCCTGGCTCTGCCTCATCCTGCTTGCCCTGTCCTGCTCATTGCTCTGCATCTTTGATAAAACCAGAAATGTGACACATTTCTAATAATCTTAATAATGATTGCAGCTATCATTCCTTGAGCACTGGAACACCTTTCCATAGATATTACCTCACTTAAGTACCCTTCGCAGCTGTGAAGGAGGTACCATTGCACCATTTTGGAGACGAGGAAAGCAAGTTTTAAAGATGGTAAGTAACTTGCTCAAGGTCACACAGTGTAAGAATCAGGGCTCAAAACCGAAACTCAGAACAGGTCATGCCAGAGCTCAGGATTCTAGTTACTACAGCAAGCACCCTGCCCTGGGAGGAAGGAGCTCGGCAAAGCAGGAAATTCCCACAGGGGTTTCTGATTTAATTGGCAAATATCCAAGGTCAGCCAGGCTCACCCACAGCTGCATGGCTGCGGTCCCTTTCTCAGCCTCTTATCTCAACAGAAAGTCGTGCTCAGCGGGCTTACTTGACCCCTGCAAATGCCCTTGTTCTAGGACCCAGCTTCCTCTGCCCCAATAATGACCTTAGGAAACCCCAAATTGCTTCCTTACAGGAAAATGCCCACTTACAGGTCCTCAGGTCAGTACTGTCACCTGTGGCCCTCATCAGTGGCATCCCTGAGCTGCGGTCTCTCCAGGAATCCTTTACGTAGTCAGGGAGATAATGTCAGCATTAACTTTTGACTAATGAACAGAAGAGAACTTTAGGTCGTGAGAGTTTCTTATGAACTTGCCTTATTCTCCTTTGTTTAGGGTTCAGAAGTATCTTCCCACTGAAAAGACTGGAGTGTAAAACCCTGTTCCCTGGCCTTCGTTGTGTGAGATGCTCAGAACACCGGGCCCACGCCCAGCAGAGCTAAGCGGAAGCACAGGCGGACCACTTCGGTCCCACCTTCCCTTTGAGGCCTCGTGAGGACTCCCCATCTCGGGCGGGAGCTCTAGTTTTCTAGATCCTTAGGGGACCTTTCTGCAGAAAAGATCCAAAAAAGAACCTCAGTTCCATTTTTTGTGTGTTTGTCTTATTTTCCCCTATCTACTTCATTGAAAAATATGACTTTAATGCCGTACATTAGATGAGGCTTTTACAAACAGAAATAGATATTTTTAATGAGCAGGCCCGAATATGTACATACAAATCTCTGCTCTTCCAATGAGCACAATAGACTTCTGAAAGAGGTGCTGCTATTGTTCAAACTTTTCGGCCCTCTTTTCCTGAAATTACATTTGGAATTTGCAGCACATTCTTTCAAGTATTTTCAATTGTGAAAATTTGTTACACTCTTGACTTTAAGAAAAGTGACTAAAAGTCGATTGAAACCAAGTTTAGTGATTAACTAAACTGAGAAATATCATTTCGGGCTTAAAATGACCTGTGACTATAAAATAAGGAGGTAGAATGTCTTTTATTGCCCTTACAGTGGCTCTGGGGGTAACGGTTTCCTTTGGAGCAGAGAGAGCTGCCGAGGGGAGGGGAGGAGCCTGGCCCTGACAGGCAGTGTGAGCTTGGGCTGTCACTAGCTTGTGAAGAGCTTTCCTTCCTCTCCAGCTCCACTTTACAACCTATTCTCTTTTTGATCTTTGCTGAGCGTTTACCCTTCATTTTCATTTAATGAGAGTGACAAGTGTCCAAACCCCAAGAGAAATTGGAGGGGAATTTAAATCATTCCTGGCCTCCATGTCCCCCATAAAAAGGGACTCTTTATATTTGCTTTTACTCAGAGAGGCCTAGCTTTCCAACCATGGTAAGAAAAAAAGGATTAGAAAACAAAGTCAAAACAGTGTCCTGTTCTTCTGGGCTCTCTCTTTCACATGTCTTATTGTTCCTCCTTTCAAAAACGTGACCCTGTTCTTTTCCCCACCTAATTGACTCTCAGGGTGTGAAATCCTGCTGGTCCTGATTTGGCAATTTTCAACCCAACTGCACCTCTATCAATTGTTAGGGATCTTCAGTTACCTCAGATTAACATACTAATCAGCCACTTAGGCTACTTAGGGAAAATAACTCTGGAAGCTCCTCGCCCTCTTCTAATTACCAAGGCCCACAGATTTTGGACTCCATCCCAAAGTCTCTCCTTTCCTCCTTCAAATCGATTTTTCACTTGCTTCCATTAGTGTCTGCACTGAAATTCAGCCTCACTGTTTGAAGTTCTCTGTTGCTAAGAGATGCTGTTTCGCATCAAACCCAAGTGTCAACTAACACTAATTAGGGCCTTCATGTACCTTTGCAAAGAGCCACTGTGCTTATGCCCAGGCCAAGGAGGAATAGGTTCTTTTCATGTGTTTTAATAGCAGTCTGAAGATCCAGCGGTGGTCCGTCAAAATATAAGAAGGGAAGAAGCAGCTTGCTGAGGGTGAGCTTGTTAGTGTATCTGCCAGTGCACCACGACTGGTTTTCCTCCAGGACAGCACAAAATGAATAATTTCTCCCTTTCCTGGGCAGGAAAACCACTTTTGAATGAAAACAAATAAAGAAGCTAAATGGAACCTCTAGTCTTCTACTTTAAGCCTCTGTTTTCTGGGAGAGAAAATGGAGGCCTAGGCAAATTGAATTGTCTGACCTAAATCAAAAAGTTTCTCTGAGGCCAACCTGGGACTAAAGTGCAGTTAGCTGTCTGAGTCCCAGTTACTGAATTCCGGATGCTGCCTCTCTAGAAATGGAATGTGTGTAGAATATGGTACAATCAATAACAGAACTACTGGTACACAATCAATAGGGTGTTTTCCCTGATCATCCTCCAACTTTATCTCTCATAAACAAATAGCTTATATGTATTAAAATAGTTTTTTTTCTGAGTTCCTCCCTGAAACTTTAAGCTCTGAGTATCCTTCATATTTTGTACCGAGTAGGGGCTAAATAAATGGTGCACAAAGGGAACCTGCTATCCCACAAAGAACCACATGGACACGCCTGTTAGTACCAATTAATTTTGTTAACTGAGGTGAAAGCAAGTTCCACTATCTTCCACCTCTTTTATTTTGATGAAGTTGACTTATTTTTAAAAAATCAATGCAATATTTAAAGTAACCTAAAATCCAAAATAAAAATGTTACCCATTCAAAGTTTCACTTTATCTCTGGAACTTAATTACTATTTGAGTCCTCAAAAGAGGGGCAATCCTTCTGGGAAGGCTAGCCTCTTGTGAACTCTATGCTGCTTGACATTTTTAAACCTTTTTAAAAATGTCTGAGTCTTTTTTCCAATCAGCCTCTGACTGCAGCACTCAGAGTTAAGGAAGAGCTAACTTCTGTTTCCAGGGAATCGTTTCCCACACATGGGAACTCTGCGCAAACAAGGCTTAGACAACCCGGCTCCCTGACACAGCCCGGACTCAAAGGTTGTTGCTTTCTGTGGGAGCTTGTCACACTGTGTGGACTTGACTGGGGGCTATGAGGCTGAATGGAGAAAGACGTCCTCTTTCTTTCTGACAACATAATTAAAATGCTAGATCAACATGTGAAAGAGTTTTACAAAGTTAAAAATGGTGCAAATACTCATTATTATACAAGTACACAGAGGTTCAATGACTGAATGTCAGGGAGATGACTACTGGTGGAGAAGGTAATGTTTCTCCCAATGGGATTGGGGTCACTTTCTGAGAGGGGTAGAAGTTGGACTTTTCCTTGAGGCAAATGAGCACCAACTTGGGGGAGTCTGACCTCATGCTTTGGGCTTCTTACATCACCCAAGTCTTATGCAGAGGCTCCTCCCATCTCTTGATTCCTTTGGGTGTTAATTGTTTATTATGTTTAAAACATGTGTAGTCAGATGGTGCATGTAGAATGAGATGTTTCTACTGCTTTTCTGACTTTACCCATCTTAAGAAAAAACTAGCCACTTGATAAAAATATGTTTGGTCCAGGTAACTGAGGACAGGACTCACTGTTCACTCAGGCCTCCCCCCTCCATGATGGCCTCTGACCAGTAAAAGTTGACTCTCATGGCGACTTCCTGTTTTCTACATCTACAGGTGGAAATTATGGGGTTAATTCAAATTTAAAACACTTTAAAACATCACTTTATCAGTCAGCGATGGTCAGAGATTTTAAGGTGGTCATTATTTTCACTGGGTTCCTGGGATTGTTTTCTCAGCAAAAGAAACAAGGTTATTTTTGAAGGTTCCTATGGACACATTTTTGTTCCTGGGACACATTGGAAAACTCCTAACAATGCAAGGTAGGGGGATCACACAGAGCCTGTCCACTTTAGGTCAGAAGCTCTTTGCTTGGGGTTTGTGGATAATGAAACTATATAACTATGTGTGTTTATCTGGGGAGAAGGTCCATGTCTTTTGTTAGGCTTTGAAATGGTGCCAAGACTTCTCAAAAGAGTACAAGTTCCTGAATGGAGATATCTTTTACATCAACTTAGAAAAATATGTCATTAAAAACAAGTACTTTGCTGATAAAAAATGTAAATATGTACATTTTAAAAATGTGACTAGCCCGGCCGATGTGGCTCAGTGGTTGAGCATCAACCCATGCACCAAGAGGTCACCAGTTCAATTCCTGGTCAGGGCATATGCCCAGGTTGTGGGCACAGTCCCCAGTCGGGGGCATGCAGGAGGCGGCCAATCGTGTTCTCTCTCATTGATGTTTCTATCTCTCTCTCCCTTCCTCTCTCTCTAAAATGAATAAATAAATAAAGAAAAAGTGGATAATTTTAAAGTAAATTTACTTTCTTTTATATTTAGAACTGAAAATTGTGTAAGTAATTAATTTCGTGTATTAAAGTGCTCCAGAAGCAGCCACTCACACTCCTCGAGAAGTTTAGTGGATGATGGCCTCACTGGTGTCTAACAGGAGAATCTTCACTAATCCATAACACATTCATCGAACCTATGCCCTGTGCCATGTACTGTGAAGGGCAAGTGCCCCAAAGCTATAAGGACTGATAAGAAATTCACAGTCCAGTTAGCAAAAAACAATAATGTAGTAGGTGCACTTAAGAAATCATAGAACAGACAATCCTTGATGTTTATCAAACTGAGCTTTGGGAGTTAGCTAGGTAATAAGCACAGTGGGCAGGGGGATGGAGGCAGTAGGAGCAAGTTCACAAGCCTGCCGAGAATTCAGTGAACATAGGTATTACCTGGAGCGTGATAAATGGCAGATTCTGAATCTGCAGATCTGAGTGGGACCTGAGGATCTTCATTTTCAAGAAGCCACTAGGTGATCCACTGTTGGCTCACCCCAATTTGA